ATAAGCAGGTCACCAGAGAACCGAGACCCGAATTACCGCTCCCCACAGGAAGGGTACGCAGAAGTAACGCTGCTACAGGTGCCATTTTGCAAAGTCAGCAGCACTGCTGGGAGATACCAGCTGTCCTTAAGTTTCACCAGGGATGAAGGATGGAGACCCGCTGGAAACAGAGCTTCTTGCTTCTGCTGCTTACAGCACAATTTACAGACCTGGCATGAACCAGCCTTCTATAGCTGGTGCATTGCTATGATTGCACCAGTCCTGCCATACTGGCAGCTGGAAAATCCACTCCATTACTCTGGGAACAGGGAGTTGTTTGGTACTCCACATCTATTTCCACCAGCCACACTTGTTCAAGCCTTCATTTACGGACCCCCTCTCAGCCTGCAGCTCAGAGGTAAGCTTGCTGCAGTAACACATTCCTCTCTCTTTTTGACATCACCACAGTAACAAATGCCCATGCCACTTTATCTATCCTCAATCTAACAGCTGAAAGTTTCATTTTTATACAAGTTAGTGGTTTGATTACTAACCAGAAGTTTTCTCAACTTTATATAAAGTGTTTGAAAGCATCTTACTAACCCTGCAGAGTAGACTCTTTCAGACAACTACCCTTGTACAATGAAGTGAAAGGAAAATAAACTATGAATTAAGTTACAAAACAACTATTATGAAAATAAATGCACCACAACGTATATGCATCTCAGACTGCACCTTAGATTTAACATAGTAACCACAAAACAGGTAAGGCACTGAACATGTAATTGTATAATGGCACAGACAAAAATGAAACTCAGGAAAAAAATCCTGGTGTAAGCCCCTGTCTACATGGCTCCCCCCTCTGCAAAGAGCTGTGAAATTGTGCATAGGGGCACAGAAAAACCCTTGTAGGAGTCAAAGTAGGTTTGGGCAATCAGAGTTATTTATATTCAGCACATTTTCATACAGTTTGATTTTAAGTAGAAACATCACTCTTAAGAGAAAGCAGTAATTACCAAAGCAGCATGAGACTTTAAGAATACAAATAATGAGGTATAATGCAAGTTATCTATGCTACAAAACCATCTTATACAACTAGAGTTTAAAGCTTTCCATCTTTTTCTCACCTGCGGAACTTTACAGTTTTCCTAGCGGTTCAAAGTGGATTGCTACAGATCAAACTTGAATTTCCCACTAACTTCCTTTCACAGCCCTTGAAGAAACAGCTCTCCCACCTCCCCTCTCCCCGAGCCTTTCAAATCACAGCTGGAAAGCCAGGATGTCTGCAACACCAGCCACCCACAAACTGCATCACAGTGGCCTCATATGGAAAGACCAGGGAAAAAAACCAAAACCATCTCACAGAACAAATCCCCAAGATCGCTCTCCACACGTGTGCGTATCTAACTAAGGTATTGCTCCCTTTCTAACGCACAGGTTCTATAATCATGTGCTGCAGAAGAATGTAAACACTGATGGCATCATCCTCTAGCCCACACGGTACAAAAAACCCTCTGATTTGAAAATGGACTTCCAAGGAGGCAACTCTCCAGGCACATGGCACTACATAGCTTTTGATCACAGCTTTAAGTAAATACAGGCTTCATGTGTCCCTGTTTTACCCCTCTAACAAACTCTTTCCACCTTTTAATAGCACTACTCCACAGCTGCGTACCTACGTGCACTTAAAGATCAGCATTGGGTCTTGTTCTTTTCGCTGCAAAAAAGCGCCAATACCAATGTAAAGCTGCAAGAGGAAAACAGGCAAGAAAAATAACTTGCATAAACAAGGGTCCACATAGAGTATGCCCCAGCTGCCTGACACAAGCAGAGCAACATTAGACACTGCGGTTCAGTAACCCAAGTGCTCATGGCATATTACGTTTGTACAAGTGCTTCCAACCCTGCCCTCTTTCTCCTTACTGTAGGAGCAGTAATCATCTTGCAACCTGCAGCTCTGAAACCTGGAAGACAAAGCACATGTGTTTGGAGAACACAGTAAGGCAGGGCCTCTACTACTGAGCACAAACCTGGCATCTTTATATTCAGCCACTGCTCCAGCGCTTCCTCCGGAATAGCGACACAGCCCCTTTTTTCAGCTGCAATTGATTGAGAGACTTTGTTCAAACTCTTGGAAGTGTTACTAAACAGCAGAGGTAGGCTCGTACAAGAAGGGGGACAGAGTCAGAAACTGGTTTAGGTGTAAAATTAAACCAGAGAAGCAGGCTTTGACTGCTAACACGACTGCAAGAGTCACAGTGAGCACTGAATTTTCAATTCAGTGAGGGAAGGACACGAAGTGTATTCATTAAATCTATATCCCAATAATTAAAATTATTCAGGCCTAACTAAAATGAAAATTATTTCCACAAGAACATACAGCGTCATGGGAAGTCAAACGTGAATTATACTACACTGTCTGACTCTGGCTACATGAATTAATTTATAAACCAAGATTAAATGTTCTACTTATGTAACGAATATTTCTACAGAAATACATTAGGGGAATATTGCAATTGCATGACTAAGCAGACAAGACAGGAAATGCAATCAGTATGGCTGACTTTGCAACTGCCTTCGTGCACACTAGCCCGGTGACAATCTCATGCTAATTCTGACACAATATACACCTTCGACTTTGACCTTCCCGTAATCTTCCCACCAGACCTGCACGGCCAGACCTCTGTGCCCGTGCAGAAAAGCCCTCTGATCCCATGGCGCTATACAGAAGAACGTAAAATTCTGCGAGACACTTCCACTGTTAAAGCATCTCATTTGCAATCGATAGCACAAGTTTAGCCATGGTGGCACCCATAATCTCTTAAGTTTTCTTTACCAACAGCAACACTGGTGGTTTCACTTCAAAGTATAACCCCAAACATAAGGCAACAAAATTTACCAAACAAACTTTGGTGCAGCAAGTTTTCCATTTGCCCGACAGATAGGCAAGATGTGCCACCAGGTATACTTACCTCACTTCCACGGGCCATCTGCCCCGTATACAGAGGCTAACAGTTACGGCTGAGCTCGTGCAAATTTAATATTCTAAACTGGATTTGGTATTTTATAGTAAAGGATAACAGCGTAACGCAAATCACCAGGCAGAGCTAAATTACATGTCAGCACTCATGCCGGTAAATGCTAGCACTAAATTCAAAGCCTTCAGCAGAACCACTCAGCAGTTTTACTGATTTCTTCCTCAACCCAGCTCCACCCAGAGGTGAAATGATGAATTTTACCTTCCAGAGTTACGGAGGAGCCCTTGCACGGCAGGTTTTTTGGTAGCTAGGAAAGCTGTAGTTTGCTTACACCTGATTAGGCTTCTTCAAACATTTTATGCTAAAGGCCAAAAAGGGGGGAGCAGGGGGGGAAGCTCCTCTCCTGCACGATCTGTCTGAGGAAGACACTTCCTCCAGTCTGTTTCCATGCTTTCCCCAACAAGCACAAGCATGCAGCAATGACTTCAAGTGCACAGCTGGGACACAGAAGTGCAGCTCTCTCACTTCTGCGTTTTTTAAGGACTAAAAACCAAACAAGAAACAAAAAAGACCAATGCAGATTTCCTTTGGACTAGAAGTACTTATCACTTCTCAGCACCAATTTCCATGCAAAAGTTCACGCCGACCATTTTGGCTGCAAGTCTAATCAAAAAAGAGCCCAAGAAATTTAATAAATACTTTTTCCACTCTCACATTCAAGGACAGCTGAATTTCTCAGAGTCCAAAGTTAAAGTCTAAAGCAGCTAGAGTGCAGAGAGCCACCAAATTTGGGAAATTTCAGACTGACATTCTCTATTTCCAAGCACGTCCCAAGTAACAGGGGTAAAAGTGGGGCTATTCTGCCCATTTTCCACTACCACCACATAAACATTTCTGCTTAAGGGTATCCAAAACACTGAAAATCACCACTAGAACGTGATGTTAACACTACAGCATATTAAGTGACAACACCATGCCTTTTTACACATTTCAGCAACTTTGCTTTGACCTAAAGGCTGAAGGTCTTACAATGCTCTGCCCACCCTTCATGTAGTTAAGGAGTAAATGCACACACCGGTTAATTCTGCTTTGGTCTGCAAAAATACACCTTGCCAGCTAGAACTGTGACGGACTTCAACACCCAAATGGAATAAAGCTATAGACTTGTAGGAATAGAGTTAGAGAGTTACGGAATTACAAGAATAAAGGCAGCCCTCAAGACACAAATGCCTGCAAACAAGAACTGAGTGGCTCCAGCAGAAAGGCGAATTAATTTGCACAGGTGGGTGACCTTCTTCACTCGCTATTTCATTCTGTGACAATTCTCTAGTGCCAGACCAAAATGACCACTACACGAAGCCTTTTCCTTGGAACCATTTCAGCAGTCATCACTGGGTAAGAAGCAAAGCCCTCTAACTTTTTTTTTTTGTACAAGAAGCTGCTAAATAGACGCAGAGAGTTCACATAGTTCGCACTGGAAGAATGAAGAGTTCTGCTCCTGGTCGCAGCTCGTCAGAGCTGTGGCTTTCTTGATCAGACCCACTAAGCTACTCTCAAAACTTGTATCTTTCATTCCTGAAGACATAAGCATAAATATGTCACCATCCACTAAAGCTAGAAACAGACAAGTGGCAGTATTTGAATGCTCCTATTCCCACATATCTTTCACCTCTCTGAGGACCCACACCTGCATTTGTGACAGCGGCAGAACAGGCACGAGCCCAGGTTTTGCCAGCTACTTGGGGCTACTGTGTAACAAGAGCTGTCAAACTGCAGCGCACCATGGTCTCAGCTTCTGATAGTGAAGTAATACCCTAGCGGTTATTTGGAAGAATAAGTTTTTGCACGTTGGGCACATGTGAGCATCAGCAGCAGCTTATTGCAGTTCCACAATCTTGAGAGACCTTGGAAAGAAACTGCGTGTCATCAAGCAACAAAATGTTTTTTAAAAGGAAGATCCAACAGATGTTTGGCTACCTCCATGGGAAAGCCCTGACTTTCTGGAAGGAATACAACAGTAGGAGAGAGTAATTCAGCTCTTACCTTTACCAGCTGCTTTATCTGCACACCTGAAAAAAATACAAAAGGCAAGCATGAGAGACAGCTTCTGCAGCACAGTGGCAGAAACCAAAAACTGAATGATGTGGAGAATGAGCCCCAATTCCCAGCTGTGGACAGACCCATCACCTCATTCTCCAATCTCTGGTTTCAACCCCTTCTGCCAACAGGGATTATTTCATCCGGAGAAGGCTCCCGTGAACTACGATAATACATCAGCAGAAGCCCAGTCTTGCCCGCAATAATTATGCCTAAATCAGAGGGACTTTGTTGTTAGAACAAGGCAGATCAGCCACATAACCAAGTGCTCCAAGCGTGCACATGGCTAGTTTCCTACTCCAGAAATAAAGCAGCAGTAAGATGCACTCATCTCCTCACGGGAAAAGAAATCCCGCCGCCTCCTTCACCGAGACTTCTGGCATCGGGAGCCAAAACAAGCTGGGCACCGAGGAAGGGGGCAGCTCTCCCCGAGGAGGCTGCCAGCAGGCGGCTCACACGGGGGGCACTTACGGTTTCGCTTACAACCGAAGGCGCCCCGCTGCAGTAGGCAGAGGGCGGCCGAGGGCAGGCAGCGCTCCGGACACTGCCTTTCCTGGGAAGGGACCAGTGGGGCCGGAGACGGGCCGGCCCCAGCTCGGCCCGGAACAAAGAGGCGGAGCCGCGGGGCACCCCGCGGCTGGAGGCGGGCCTCGGGGCCTAGGCGCCGCTCGAGCGGGACGGGAGAAAGGCC